GTAAAATTATATTCTTAGATACGTATCCATTACGGTAACATATTTATTAACTCCTTGTTCATCCATTTCAGCTTTAATTATGGCCGCATTTTGATTATTATAATGACTATAAGAGTGCTCCTGAGAATTTCGCACACTATATTTATTATTATTAATGAAAGTAGACTATCGAATTTTGAGTATTAAAATATTTTAATCATGTAAATATTTAATTTATATGAATGTCTGAATGTGAAAAACACAATATTGTGTATATTTAATTGTCTTTATTAAGCCTTTTAAATGTTTTATTGGGTGTAAAACCAAAAAAAAAACAGTTAATTTCTAGATGCATAGAATGATTTTTTATTAATTGCTCTTGATCATTTATGATAATGGTAAAAATTCTCTATAAATCCTCGACTACAAATGATTTAAATAATTATTAATTTTCTTTTTAAGAAGGATATAATTGCATCAAAAAATGGAAAGAAATGTGAATTTAGGACTGCTTAGTGATTTTTAAAGCGACAAAATTTTACAAATTGTAAAGCCAATTGAAAGTTATTGATTTTGGGTGTTCGTTTAATGGTAATGAATAGATAAAAAAGTTTTAAAGACTTTTATCATAATTAATATTTAACATTTGAAGTAAGTCATTGACAATTAAAACATTAGCATAATTGATCCCCTGACAGACTAGTCGCCGAAAGCTTTTATTTGATACATACGCATACTGGCGTATAGTCCACGGCAGTTGAAACCGTATGAGTGCATACACCTCCGTATAGCGATGCACATATGGCATTGTCCTAAATGCGCGTCCTTAGCCCTGGCAGTGTAACACATAGAGGCTTTGTTTTGATATTCGCAGCGTGTCATCGCCTAGGACGAGTATTCGATATTAATTTTATCGTTTACTCTCAGTATGACCTCAATGAACTACCTACTATGAACTATTTCTAAAGGAATTGATTACTCTTTCAAAAAAGTTTTATTGTATGTACTATTTAAATATTATTATACCTACCTAACTATAATTGCTTTCTATGTAAAGGTGAAATACGTCATACTATACAGGGTAACTTGTACAATTCTAATAACCTGCCAGAAGAAGCTATCTAACATTATAGAAATAGCGACTTCCAAAAATCATAAATCGGTAGAAAGTAATTTGAGATAAAATATAAGTTCAAAAACTAAAACCCGATTATAGTTAAGTGACGCTCTTAAAAGTTTAAAAAAAGATTTTTTTTTAATAGCGATAACTTATTATAATAGCGATGACCAAAAGACAGCGTAATCCTTTGCAACAGTTTTTTTTATTGTGACTAGTGGCAGCTTTTGAACAAATTTTTTATTTAATTATTTTCGTTCATATTTAAGCAATATAGCAAGCTAAAATTATGAATAAATATATATATATATTTTAAATGTGCTAATTAAGCCCTTTCATTTGATACCCTACACGGAATGATTGAATAATAATAGCCAACAGAAAATAATAAACAACTAAGACGCTTTTAATAATACCTCATTTTTCCAGTTACGATGTCCAGTTTTGAAATTATAAGGGAGCAGATCAACATTATTACATACTTACATACCGGCTAAAATCATAACCCTTTTTTAGCTTCGCCGTACTTGAATAAAAATTCTATTGAACTCTGGCGTGGGTTTTGTGTAGATTATTATTATATATATCCGATTTCAAAAGAAGTTTATCGAATTAGTTTTATATGATGATATTTTAAATTTATCTATCTATCTAATATTGGGTTGTTCAGTATTCATCTTATGACGTCTCATCGTACATATTACTCATCACCCTGTTTATGTTCCTTGCTCAACCCGCAAGAATTTAATTCATTTTATTTTCCTTAATCACCCCAACAGGATTCTTGGCTCGTCCTTTTTTAAAATCACTTAACAAAATGTAAGATTTCTGTTGAGGTCTGGAAAAAATAGTACCTTTTTTTGACGATGAGAAATGCGTTACGCATACCCGCTACACTCAGTGCGGGCTTCACGGGTTATGTGGGACTCCTCCTGCGGCCCCACCCCCGTAGGGGCTAGACAAGAAGCAGGAGTTTACCCACTAAAACTCAGTAATGTCCCTCACATGGAAGGCGATGCACGGGATCGGCTCTGAGGCCATACACCGCGCGGTTCGCCCCCATTTCAGCCCGCTCTCAAAAGGGCAGGTCCCTCACGGGCTAGGGGGCACATCTCAGAGACACTCGAGACGTACCCCCCCCCCAGACAGGGCAGAGACGTGCAATGTCGAACAGCGCGAAAAACGACCAGCTGCCCCCGACTAGAGACCAGAGATGCGCGACTGTGCAATATCCATCTAGTTGGGAGGATCCACACAGGCAGAGCCCTTATCGTGGATCCCCCCCACCCCCCCGTACGGTCGCGACTACCACCGGAGTACGGCCCGACCACAGCCCTGAAAAGGGTGCTATCAGGCCTCATCAACCGGCTCCGCCGCGCGGCCCTGGTAATAGTACCACCCGGTCCGGCCGCCACACACACCAAAGTGGTGTGTATGGTGGCGAACCGGGCACCCAAGGCCAGGGCTACTGAGAAAATCCCCTCACCCGCATACGCAGGCCGACTCACCATGTACCTTTCACTAGCAGCCACACAGGCGCACCCGGCAGACGTAACCCTGCCAGGGAACCAATCAAACTGCTAGCCAACTCAACTGAACTCAACTCTTACACTCGATGGATCATCACAATGATATTGACATGTCATATTCACTACATAGGTTTAAAAATATATTGTATAATAATTTCAGCTCTGAACTACAGTCTTTGACATGACGGCTGTTAGTGTAACACTGGAAAATTTGATGTTGTTTTATTTTAACTTTCACAACATTTTATTAGTCTTGTCTAGTAATGTTCATTGATTGATTGATTTCTAAAAATTGTTTTCACTAATCTAATTTCATTATTCCTTAACCGGTGACAACCTTCCACTCTTATTTACCAGTCTATCAACCACCAAGATACAAAATAGAACCATTAGTTTGTCTCAAAATTATAACTTTAACTATTTTCTCATTTGCTTCCATTAGAGAAAGCCTTATTAATTTTACAAAATAAAATTGAACCTATTGTTTACAAAACACCAAAGCATTTATTTTGACACTTGGTGTACGTTCCGAAAGCCGTAATTAACCTTAGAACTTACCTTTACATATTTATATTTTCTTCCAAATTAAATTTCTTTTCCCTATTTTTAATAACAATTAAGTAGTATTTGACCTTCTTTATAGAATATGATCAATTCGTTAAAATTAAAATAGATATTTCGAAAACTCACTTTTTTATAACAAAATTATTAAATCAGACTTCAGGTTTTAGAACGTTGAATTAAGAAAATAAAGCAATAGTGTGAAGTTGTCACCTAGTTATATTCCTTTGTATGCAAGGTTTTATCAGTTTTTTCATGCATGTTTGCATATGTCCTATAATTTTATTTTCAATTCAATAAAACATAAATATTTTATTTATGTATTTTTCTTATTAAATTTTTAAAGATGAAAATTTTAGCCATTATGTGTTGTCCGTGAAACGGAGTTGCTTCGTTTAACAGCTGTTCAGGTCGCTTGAATGGAAATGGAAATCGTATTTAAGTCGGAACCCGGCTTTGTCTTTCCCAAAGAGTACAGTAATAATACGGAAAAAGAGTGCCCTCTCGCGTGTATTTAGTGCCAATCAGAATTGAAGCGCCATCTGCATTACTTCCCCAAAAACTATTGCTATATAGGTATACCTATAGTAGGTATGTATTATAGTTATAGGATTCTTTCTTCGCGCCACTCGAAAAATACAAACTGTAAAGACTGTAGTAAAACTTTTAAAAGAAAATTGAGCATAATGAACAACTTTCTTTTAAAAGTTTTACTATGGTTTTTACAGTTTGTATTTTTCGAGCGACGATAACAAAAAGAGGACAAAAACTTGAAAAAGAAACGGCATTGTTCACTTATTATAAGTTGTTTATTTCGATAAGTTAAACAAATGCATACAGCACATGATCAGCATAGTCATTCATAAAAAATACAAGTATACATTTTATTATTTTCTGTTTTTGTATTGTTTCCTCTTATTATAATATACTTGCGCTGTCAATTTGGTCTCGTCATCACCCTGGTAATTAATTCTTCCACTCAAAATTCTATTTACTGACTTGCACCAATTATAAATAATTAAATGTACAGTTGTTTTAACAAAATGTTAATAAAAACAATCAGTGTGATAAGAACAAGAACACACAGGAGGCAGTTACAAATAATTTTACAACAAAGTATATTTCCTGATATATTACTTTTGGTAAAAAAAAAATTTACCGTTATGTGAGTAATATTTTGCATATCACGGAAGCAATTTTCTAGTAGAGTACTTGGATAACATAACCAATTTTTATATTCTTTTGATTTCATAAATGTATTATGTAGCTTCTCTCCATTTTTATCTTGCGATATATTGCTGCATGCATTGCATTTCGCCTTTTTCAAATATTTTCTTAATGCCCATCCACATACATAGTTAATTTGACCGGCGTCACTATTCTCATTAGAGCCCATTATAATATTTTAATTAATAAATATTTTACTATCATTTTTGGGAATATCAGTAGTTTTTTAAATTTCCTGTTAAAAAAATTATGTTTTGTAGACATTGATTATAATCTGCCTCACAGTTTATTTTGAGTGAATGAGGCGTGTTGAAATATTTAATAGCAATGATTTATACGCTCCTTCAAATCCAACAGTGTTAGGAGCTATGTTTCTAACTCCTGATATTCCCAAAGAAGTTTTCAATGGGGTCTTGATTTAAATTGTTAGTCAACAAACAATCTAACCTATAGTTTTGATACAAAACCTTCCAAATTGCCTCCATGTTTTCAATTGTTTTTATAAAATTTTTGGATGAAGGAATTACACTTTCTGTTGCAATGACTTGACCAGCAATATTTTGTTTTTTTTTTTTATGAATCTTACACTATGCAAAATTTTCTTGCTCTAGTCCATAACTCGTGATGGGTGAAATTCGCTTTACCGGACCTTTATAAATTTTTCCATTGGGAATGTTTAGCGTGTTGATATTTAGACTGTCAAATAAATCATCAATTAATAATGTTATGTTCACCAGTTGACGACACTCTTCTTGCAAATCTCCTCGCGCCGTAAGGTGCTCAGCAACTACAGCAATACTGTGACTGAATACTTGTGTTGCTAATTTCACTCTCATTTTATTATTTTTTTCAGGATCAATGTGTTCCTCCGTTAGTTTATTTAATAATCTTAATTCTCCATAGCATTTATCTGCCGCATAAACTTTTTGGTAAATCAGCAACTGTAAAATAAAAAAGAAACCTTTTGTGTACTGTTTATAATAAAGGTCCATGATAATAGTTTTTAAAATTATTTACTATAACTGTTTAAATTAAATACCTTGTGGAGGTGTGTTCTTTTAGATCTGCTACACGAACTATAGTTATGTTCCCTGATGATATCTTCTACATAAGGGATGTACTGAGAGTCAACTGAAAATTAAAGATATATCTATATTATTAATACCAAAAAATAATCTATGTCTTCAACTAGTATTTGAGAACGAAATCAATTATTTATATCAGAAATGATTATAGTATCTACTTCTATTTAGTAATTTTTTCTCACTCTTACATTTTCCACAGAAAACTACTGACTATATGTTTATATGTTTAGTAGTATAACTTGTAGTCTTTAGTTGTATAACTATATAATCTTCATAAATTAGATTATAATCTTTGTATCAATTTTTAGAGATTATAATAAAATTGTAATTAAACATTGCTAAATATATAAAATAATGGTTATATTAATTACTTGGTATACAAATTAAACTTAATGAGAAAAAAAACTTTATTTGAGTGATATATAGAATGATGGTTATATTAACAAAAATTAAAACAGGTGAACTTTATATAAGTGCTAAATGAATTGTTTTTAGGCGTCTTGAATATTATATATGTTGATATAAAAAAAAATAATATTACTTAATACAAGTCTTATTTTAAACAAAATTCGACCTCCGTAGGCGAGTGGTTCGCACGCCGGTTTCAAGGTGTCGCCATCTCTGAGGTTACGGGTTCGTTTCCCGGTCGGGTCAATGTAGAAAATGAACTTTTCTTTATTGACTCGGGTCTGGGTGTTGTGGTACCTTCGTTGTCTCAGATACTCCATAATACGGGGGCTTTAGCTACTCATCTTGGAATCTGAGCAATGTATGTGATGTTGTTAAATATTTATTTATTTATATATTCATTCACCTCCACCTAATATAAGATCACACTGAGCTAATTAAATGTCTTGTTAATGTCAGTCAGTAAATGTCAATAGTCATTATTTCAAATGTACATTTTATAATAATAAAATTATTGATATGAAATTATATAAAAAGTTATTATAATAATTAAGCATACCCAGTATACTAGTGTGTATTAATAATTATTTATTTACCTGAAGAGGACATTTGGGAAGATTGCAATTTATCATGAGATTGGTTGCCATACTTTGAAGAATACAAACTTTCCTCTGTCATTGTTGGAAACAAACCTGTAATAAAAATGAACAATTATGTAATTTCTTCCATAAAAAATAGATTATTAAAATCTTTATTTTAAATTTAATTCAAATTTATAGTTCCAAGTTAAATTTACCTGAACTTCTTGACAATTGACTATTTTCTTCATTAGGAGCAACTGGGAGCTCCTCAAGAATTCCCCTTGAACCTGGAAATTATAAAAATACTCTTTTGAGTTTTACTAAAACAATAACTATACATGTCACTGGTTGGTTGGATATGTAATGGTTATTGGTGGTAATTTTTATATACAGTAGAAATTAGAAAACATCATGTGATTGATCAATATATTAAATTGAATCATTACAAATCTAGCTGTGCTCGTGACTTTTAGGAAAGTGTATGTATAGAATTTAGTAATATTATAATTTGTCCTGTTACTATTACTAACCCAACATAGATTTGGAGTTTTTTTTTTGTTTTGTTTATTTGGGTCAACAAACAGTTTTACAATAGCATTCCAATTTATGATATTATGTACACAGTTTTATAATTGCAAAAGCAACGTTAACTACAAGTTACTATGAGTAGTTGAAAGTTGCATATGTTATCAGCTTAAACACTTACTAAGAAAAATGAACACTACACAAACAAAACTGTTACAAATATGATAATATATATTACTTTATGATGATATGGCATTGCAATTTAGTTCACTTATTCTTTCTTAACTAACTCTTTGAATTTTGTTTTGTTTAAATTGAATATGTCGATTTCATGTAAACCATTGTTATAAAATTTTGCTACTCAATGCACTGGAGATCTCTTGCCTGTATTTGTACAAAATTTAAATATAGCAAACAGTTAGTGTTTACGCAGGGAGCTCGTTTGCGCCCGCTTAGGTACTAAATAATTAATTTTATTTATTAATTCAGTACAGTCATACTCACTGTGACATATATTAAATAAGCCAACCGCTTTCAGGTATTGCCGTCTAGATTTTAAATCTGTCAATCGGGGCCATACTAATTAATGTTCACATGACACACAAGCACATCTGCACCTATATGGAGTTTGTCAAAACATAGCCCATCCTTTTTTTATTCCCATTGTTTCATAATGTTTGTTTCATTACACATTTTTATGTTATTCCCAAGATTTGTGCCTAAGCGATTTCTAAACTTTTACTGTATTTCAAAATAAACATACATACCCTGTTAATTCTCTGATGGGACAGCCAAAGCATTCAAACGTCTAAAACGACTTGTATGTCTATGTATAAAATGAATATCGCAAACTTTTTCCTTCTGTTTCCAGTTTTCCACCAACCAATGTAACCCAAGCTTTGAAACGTTCAGGAAACTTCAGGTTTTGGGAATGAGTGCATAGTGACATCTGAAACAGGAAGTCATGGCAATATTATAGACATTAAATATATAGCCATTATATAGTTATTATCTCATTATTTCCACTTTATACGGTGTGTTATAGAAACTTATTGGTTATTTTTGTTTCGTTAGTGTGTTGATAAGAAAATAAGAAGGAAAATAAATAATTGATAACCTCATTGTTAAAGTCAATTAAAAACATGATGTGAGTTAGCTGCATTGAAGTTTAATAGATTATTATTATGCTTACCACTAGGTGTCGTCCGAAAGAACAAAGTCGGGGCATTACGACAATAATAATCTTAACACAAAACAAACTTAAATAAGCGTCCTGTCGCGATAAAGTTCTGAAACTACAGAAATCCACAGCACAAATACACGGTAAGGTGGAGAAGAATAAATCTCAACTCGACACATTTAACTTGAGGTTTTGTAGCCACTAGAACAAAATGACGAAGACAAAATACAAATATATGAACGCAAGAGCACAGTAATCGCCATATTGATTTTGACAAATTGATCCAAATAAGTAAAAAATTTCGTCTTTTCGAGAGTGCGTGTAGCGTCATCTAGTATTGTTTATGCACACCTGGTAGTACTCATAATAGTTTTGGGGAAATAAAATGGATGTCGCTACTATCTTTGCAAAATTATGGCTACTAAGGGAGTGTCCCCCCCGTGGTCTTTCCTTTTATTCTGCTGATCATCTAAGAGTGAAGAGAAGTCTACAAGTCTACCGTGTCTCGGCTCGTTTTGTTGAATACGTGGGGTAAGTTTCCTATTGTCTTATTTTCGAACTTTTTGTAACCCTTGTTTTGACATTGAATTCTTTGAACAAGGGAAACGTCTTTTCCTTGTTTTCTTGAAGAAGGACCCCCACGAGTTGTTACCTTAATAGGCTTGTGATCTAAGACTTTCCTATGGTTCCACAGCTTCCATTCGTGGTGATTTTGAAGCAGGGAAGGCCGAGCAGTGCTGCAGATTTGTGGGCGCCGGTCGCATAAGTGTTCTTGTTGTTTTTCGCCTCTCAAACCGTGAGTACCATTTTCGTGCATTAACGTGTAGAATCCTTATTTTCTTGATTATCATATTGAACAGATAATTCTTTCCCTTAGATTGAATCGTGGCATTTTGGTTAATAGTAGTGTTTGAACTACCCATATATATTTTTTCTTAGTCACCCTCATAAATAATTAAAACTTTTCATGAGTTGTTAGAGTTTGTATCTTATCAGTTCTAATGAAATAAAGTAAAACAATTGAATTACTGGTAAATTTGAAAGTGAATAGATGTCCGCTGTCTGCGACGGACTGAATATTATATAGTAGATGTACAGCACTCTTTTGTCCGATACAGGAGAGGCTGTCTGGTACTGGCTGTATTGTACTGGTTGTCTGGTACTGGCTGTATTGTCCTGACTGTCTGGTACTGGCTATATTGTACTGGCTGCCTGGTGCGAGTTGTCCGATACAGGTTGACGGTACCACCAGTAACCGTATGTAAATGCTATATCGCTCCATGTGGATGGGTATCTGTGGTTTGACCCACCTACATTACTGAGCTGAATAAAAAGGAAGACCTGATTGTTTCGCTGTTGAGGTGGATGAAATTTTATTAAGCTTATTTAAACAAAAGACAAGCTGAACATTGAGCTGTGCCCAACTATTATTGTGTTTAGTAGCATTAAGTGTTATAAATGTTATTTTATGTCTACGAATTATAACGCTGGACAGTGAGACCGTAGGACAACAGACAGCCCCCGGTTTGTTGTGTTGCCGTACTCCTTCTGAGTACGGCAGCGAAGCCAAGGTCAAAATATACCCTTTTATTTTTTTTTACTTTAAGGGGGTAATTTGTAATTGGTAATTGGTAATTTGTAATTGGTAATTTGTAATTGGTAATTGGTAATTTGTAATTGGTAATTTGTAATTGGTAATTTGTAATTGGTAATTTGTAATTGGTAATTGGTAATTGGTAATTGGTAATTTGTATAAAAATTGTAATTGAATTTTAAAATTGTTATTTCAAAAAACTTCATTTATAAATAAATTGTACACAGTTTATATTTCTTAATTTTTTTTCTTCTCAACCAAAATAAAGGAGAAATCCATTACATTAGTGCTAATGATACTCTGTAATTGTATCTTTTCGGTCAGATACACCTTTAATTTATTACTATTATTGTTTTCGTTTTTTTTTTTATATACCTGCTCGGTTCTCAATATCCTGCAGGTGTAAATTAGCTTCTGTACTAAACATCATCTAATGGTTATGTTTACTTTGTTTACTTGCTATAGGTACATGTTGTAACAACTGTAATTAAAGCAGCACTATTGCAAGTTACTGATGTATGCTTTACTGTTATACGATTGTGGTGTATGTTTTATTGGTTGTTCTTAAATAAATAAATAAATAGCCCCGCCAGCTGTCCCTCACCCAAGAGAGACAGACACTGGTGGTAGGGTTTAATCCCGCCTGGTTAGTTACCACCGTACACACATGGTGAAAAACCCGTGAAGTGCTCGCTCGTAGAGCGCGTTTCGGGATCAGCCAACGTACAACCAGAGCTCGGGACGACATTGCTGCGATTGTTTCGGTCCGGTGGGTGCCTCCGTCGAACCAGTGCCAGGAGGACTGCATCGACCCGCCAGCCAGGGAGACCCGTAGAAACGGCTGACCGCTGGCCGCCCGTGGTACAGTACAGGGGCCCAAGCGTGCCTAACCAGCTCGTGAGGCTGCCCTATCATACCACGCATAATCTTGGGGTGGACCGTCGTGCCGGTTGGTGACCGGAGCGTGGGTCCCGGCGGCCACTCCCGGGGGGGTACGGGGGCCCTTCCGTCTGGCGGATCGGTGCTACTCCTCTGTGGGCAACACCTGGGGAAACAGGCGCCCATATTTCTGACTGGAGCAGTCGCGACAATGCCCTCCCGCTTCACGTCTCCTCACCCCTTATCCTTATGGCAGCCACAGCAACACGTTCCGGTCGTACAGCGGTGCACAACCCCACGCCTTCGCTGTTTGAGGTTGAGTTCTCTAATATACGGGGACTCCATGCCAACCTCAATGCTGTCCACCAACACCTAGAGACAGCACGGCCTGCAATGTTGTTTCTGACGGAGACGCAAATTCTCCGCCCGGCCGATACAAGCTACCTTCACTATCCCGGCTACGCACTTGAAGAGTCCTTCAAAGCGAAAGCCGGTGTATGCTTGTTTGTCCGGGCGGATGTTTGCTGTCACCGATTGCGCTGCCTAGAAGACCCTTCCTTTTCCCTCCTAGCGGTGCATATAGACTTAGGTCATCAGACTCGAGTCTATGTGTGCCTCTACAGATCCCACACTGGCGATACGGAGACAACTCGACTTTATGACCACCTCAGTCGGGCGGCAGATTACGCGCAGGAGCAGTATCCTAACGCAGAACTGGTTTTCTTGGGGGACTTCAACGCTCACCACGAATCGTGGTTAAGTTCCTCCAAGACGGACCATGCGGGGAGATCAGCCCACGCATTCGCTCTCACGCATGACTTGACTCAAATGGTCGATCAGCCCACCAGGATCCCAGACATAGTCGGTCAAACGCCTTCCTTATTGGACCTTCTGCTTACGAGCCATCCCGTTGGTTATCAGGTTGATGTTCGTGCCCCACTGGGCAATTCCGACCACTGCTTGATATCCACCAAAGTGCCGCGAATCGAGCCCCCTCAACCTCCGAGGACCCGACGACGCGTATGGCACTATGGCTCAGCGGATTGGGACGGCATGCGCGAGTACCTTGCATCCGTTCCTTGGAAGCAGCGCTGCTTTAGTGAGAAGGATCCGACAACGAGCGCCGTTGCTATTACTGAGGAGATCGGTATTGCTATGGAATACTACATTCCGCACTCCGATCTGATCAGTATGGGCAAACACAACCGCTGGTTCAATCGCGATTGTGCTAACGCTGTTGCATCTAAACAGCTGGCATATCGAGCTTGGTCAGGGGTCGTGCTCGGAGGGATCCCGATATCGACTCAATAAAAGCAGCCTACAATCAGGCTTCCAAGTCCTGTAAGAAGGCTTACATCAGAGCGGATGCCCAGCGCGTCGCACGTATTGGCCATGAGCTAGTTACGCACCCTACGGGCTCCCGTAGCTACTGGCGCCTCGCCAAGGCCGTGCAAAATAATTTCTGCCAGCCCTCGCTGCCACCGCTTCGATGTCCAGATGGAACATTAGCTCACAAGCCGCAGGAGAAAGCCGACCTCTTGGCAAGCCTCTTCGCGGCTAATTCCCAAATCAATGACTGTAATGCACTGCCACCAACGTTACCTTCTAGTGGCTTCACTATGCCTGATATTCATATCAGGCAGCGTGATGTGCGTGCGGAACTACAGTCACTCGATGTCCGGAAAGCTAGTGGTCCTGATGGCATTCCTGCGGTTGTTCTAAAAATGTGTGCAGCGGAGTTGACTCCTGTACTTACGCGCCTATACCAGCTATCTCTTTCTTCGGGTCGTGTACCTGAGGCTTGGAGAGAGGCCATTGTGCAGCCAGTGCCCAAAAAGGGAGATCGGTCAGACCCTGCAAACTACCGCCCTATAGCTATCACCTCTGTGCTGTGTAAAGTCCTGGAAAGGATTATTAACTCCCAACTGATCCGATACCTAGAAGATCACTCCCTTGTAAATGATCGTCAGTATGGCTTTAGACCAAAACGATCAACTGGTGATCTTCTAGCGCACGTCATGCACCTCTGGGGTGAAGCTATCGACAAGCGCGGCGAGTCCTTGGCTGTCAGTCTTGACATTGCTAAGGCATTTGACAGGGTTTGGCACAAGGGACTTCTCTCCAAGCTTCCGGCCTACGGTCTGCCCGTTCAACTCTGCACCTGGATAGCCGACTTCCTGCGTGAGCGTAAAATCCGTGTTCTTTCTGACGGATGCTCTTCACAGCTTATGTCAGTCAACTCCGGTGTGCCTCAGGGCTCCGTTCTATCCCCTACACTTTTTCTGCTGCATATCAATGACATGCTTCCACTTGGAAATATCCATTGCTATGCAGACGATAGCACAGTGCATGTGGGATATCACGGGGCTCCTACAGTCGGACGGGCGGAAATCCTGGAGAAAAGGGAGAATCTTGTCATTGAGCTCAATCACGTTCTGGATCTCATATCGAAATGGGGTGCTGAAAATCTGGTTGAGTTCAATGCCAAGAAAACTCAGGTTTGCGTATTTACCGCCAAGACCCCTCCATTCCCTTCCCTTCCCTCTCTTCAGGGCACAACCTTGCCTCTACAGAGCAGCATCAACATGCTCGGGATGGAAGTGCGCTGTGATCTGAATCCCAAAAACCACATCGAGTCCGTTATTAAAACAGCATCTCGTAAACTCGGTGTCCTGAATAAGGTGCGGCGTTTTTTCACGCCCGAACAACTGTGCCTGCTATACAAAACGCAGGTCCGGTCATGCGTGGAGTATTGCTCGCACCTTTGGGATGGCTCCGCTAGGTACTTACTCGATGCTTTGGATAGATTGCAGCGCCGCGCAGTACGCATTATTGGCAATGGTGAAGTCACCAAGAACCTAGAAAGCCTGCAACTGCGCCGAGACGTTGCTTCGCTCAGCGTCTTCTACCGTCTCTACCATGGTGAATGCTCTGAAGAACTCTTTTCGCTTATCCCTCCATCTCCCTTCCTCCTCAGGACCACACGTGCTGGTTTGCGTTGCCACCAACTAACTGTGGCAGCGATTCCTTCGCGTACAAAGAAATTTGGCGACTCATTTCTTTGTCGTACTACCAAAAAATGGAATTGTCTCCCGGCCCATGTATTCCCTCCTTCCTATGACATGGGGTCCTTCAAGCGGGGCGTGAAGAAGCACCTTGCAGGTCGGCAAGGTGAGGTTGGCTAGTGCAGTACCTACGTACTGTTTTCACTAGCTGTCCTCACGTTTGGACTACGCCTCCGCTTACCAACAGGTGGAGCGCAGTCATTTGCCCTCCTATACATAAAAAAAAAAAAAAAAAAAAAACACGCTAATACGTGTTCATCACCTCAGAAAGGTCCTCAG